AAATAGCAATTGCACTGCATCAGCATCATCGGTACATGGGCAGGTGGGTGGCCATCTTGAGATGTCTGAATGTGTTATCAACACCAAGATCCCCCAATGCACATGCACATACGCGGGCACGGTTACACGATCTCGATAAGAGCCCGTTGATTGTCCAGTAAGGGCAGTGTTGGTAGAGATTACTGTTTGCTGGGCAATCTCAGGTCCCAATAGGAAAGCAAGGCAAGTCCCTTCCGCCCCGACGACAATGGCCCGCGGAGGTGGTCCGACGCGGAGCAAGTTGTTGATATCGAGAGTGCGGGTTGGCGTGCGTCAGCCTGTCAAAGCGAGGCGGCGGATTGCACCAGGACGGTTTAGAAAGACGTGCATGCCGTGATCTGGGGTACCCCGGGAGATCCGCAGCCACAGGCGCTGATGGCCGTCGGCGGATGTGTAGCACTGTGATGACGGAGGGCGATGGAGCTCTTTCTCTCGCCCGAGTCCTATCACCGCGTCGAAGTGAGAGCTGGCTGTCCCACTTGGAGGACGTGTGATGTCGAGGAATCTTGGGTGGGCCCGTGGTGGAGGGGTGACGTGCAGCGGTGATGTGCGTCGTGAGTCGATCCTTTCACGATAGTAGCAGAAGCCGCTCACCGCCTTTCTATAACTAAGCAACGGCAGCTCTGCACTAGGCTACGCGCGCTCCCCTCACTAACACGGCCCACGCGACACGCTTCTCTTTGTTGTCGCAGCCCTCATTGCCCCGCATCACCTGTAGCAGTGCAGTGGAATTACTACCTAGAAGACTGCCATGGGTCAACCAGCACGCCGCACTGCTCGAGCCCGCCACGCCCACTGTACCGAGCCCGCCCACTGCTAGAACTGGGCGCGCTTCCATGGCGGAATGCGCCCTCTCGACATGATCGGACACCTCTTCAGCAGCCGCAAAGGCTCCAGCGCCGCCCACGCGCCGCCGCCGACGGTGCTCGACTCGGCGACGGAGGAGAGCCACACGCGCCATCTGCTGTACCCCGAGACCAGCACCCTCTACCACCCCGAGGGCCAGCCCTACCCTCTGCACGCCGCGCCCCTGACGCCCGGCAGCGCCCACGACGGGCCTCTGCCGGAGATCGACCTCGACTACCCGCGCGACTGCCGCATCATCATCGCCCAGGATGAGACGCCCCAGATGCCCAAGGCCATCCTGTTCGACTCCAAGCCCGCCCCGCCGCGCGCCGACCCGCCCACATCGCCCACCATACGCGCTCGCGCTGCAGGCACCGCAGGACCGACATTTGGCGGACAGCATGCCCGTCGCTCCTCCCTCGCCACAGAGCCCACGCCGCCGCCGCGCTCGCCCACGGTCGCCGGCTTCACGCGCATACGCACCCGCGGCAGCTCCATCTCCTCCATGCCCAACATCGACGAGCACGCCCAGGTCCAGGCCAAAGCCCAGGCGCGGGCCAAGGAGTCGACCGACCTGGCCAACATCTGCCTCGACTGCATGTTCGGCAACCTCGCCATGAACTACCGCGGCAACTCCAACAAGATCCACATCGTGCCCCTCGACACCAAGCCCGCCGATGCCTCCATACTGAGCACCAGCGTCCAGGATGCGACCAGCTCTCTGGGCCGCGCTGAGGGCCTCCGCCGCCGAAGCCATCTCGCCAAATCCTTCACTCCCGCCAACCTCCCGACCGACATGCCCCGCGCCGACTCGTCCGAGAGCATACCGAAAGAGCCCAAGCGACGGACCATCTTCATCACACGCTTGTTCTCCGTCACCATGCCGGACGAGGATCACGACGACCGCACGCCGACGCCGCAGAGCTCACTGCCGAAAGGCAATGGGTTCCCTTTTCCGTCCACCAACGCCAAGCCAGGTGCCCCCAAGCCGCCATACCCGTCACACGTGCGGAAGAGCCCCATGTATGCCATCACCATCATCCTCCACCTGCCCATATCGAACACGTCGCCGAGCCTGAGACCTTCGTCCCGGAGCGCCAATACCAGGACTCCTGGACACCTTTCGACCTCTGCCCCTGGACAGGATTCTCTTGGTTCGTCACTGGACTCGGATCGCCGCGCAGGATGGGCCTTCATCGACTCTAACCTGGGCGTCGAATCACTCCTATCCTCGTCGTTGTGTAGTGACGTCGATGACCGCGTTGATGTCGTAGGCCAGCACTGGGATGTCATCATGCGCGCTCTAAGCAGCCTCCAACACGTAGTTCAGGAGCGCATATTGGCTCAGTTCAAGGCGCCGAAATCACCAGATGGCATGGCCACACCTGTAGCCCACCACCAGAGAAACCAGCCTTCACGGACGAGTCTTCGAGACTCCTCTCTGCAGGCCAGTCGACGAGCCCTACGATTGCAGCCGAACGCCCTCATGATGGACAAAGAGATACGAGACGCAGCGGAGCTGACCGGCAATCGCGTCGTAAGCGGCATGAGAATTCCTCGCGTAATGACAGGTCAAGGCAAGTGGGGCGTGTGGCGCGAGGAGGCCAGATGGCTTGGTCGCTGGGCAGGTCGACGAGAACAGAACTTCTTCTTCTTCAACTTGCTGACTGCTTTCCTCGGTAACCACACTGAATGGCTCAACATCCTGGGCCCCAGGTGGCACCGCAAGCGTCATCGCGAACTACAGAAAGCAACTGCTGGAGAGAACCTCACCATTCCGAGTCGCACTGTCATTGTTTCCCCGGACAAGATGGCTGCTCGGAGACTCATCTTTCTATTGGCTGCTTTTCTACCACCTAATGCGTCTGCCATGGGCGACAGCACGTACGCGCGCCCTGGCACTTCGGCGTCCCTACGTGCTTACTCACAGTCGCCTCCGACCAACATGCCGCCCTCAAGACAGCCATCGCTAAGGAGACAAATAAAGCGAGGACCGAGGGGTAAGCAGAGCATGTCCAATATTCTTCTGCAGCCGCCGAAACCCCAGAGTGTGCATCAGCCGCCTACGCAGGCTCTAGACGAACGTTCCGAGTCGGCCTTGATTGAGACGTCAGAACCTGTACGGCCGCTCGGCCATTCGCGACGTTCCTCTGCACATTCAGTCCGGACCACTCTAGTCGTCCCCTCCATGTCGGAAGGCCCAGTCACGACAGGCAGCACTGTAACCACCTCAACAGCCAACCCACAGGATGCGATGCCTGTCGCTCACTTCACCTTCCCTAGAACAAAGTCGTCCGGCACCATGCCTGACATGAGACCAGAAAGCAGTGATAGTCTGGCGTCCACCAACTTGATCAGCACCCTACAACGGAGCGGTACAGGCCAGACAAGCCTTGCCAGCAATGATTCCAGCAATACTAGTCGCTGGAGTGGCTTCATGAACTTTTGGAGCGGCCGTCGCTCGTCCTCGACCGACCAGAGTGAGTACTTCCAAACAACAGATGATGGCGTGGGCTTTCGTGGGCAACAGCGCCCTCGATCGCAGCTTGAGCACATGGTACAGGAACTCTCTATGGACCGTGTCTTCGAGAGCGATGCCGTCGATTCTCCGTTTGCACCTGACTCCGGCGAAAAAGACACTCTCAGTGTTTACTCTAATGGTGGCACTTCCGGTGTTCCTGCATCTGCAGCGCGGCCGATACCCGAGCGTCAGAAGACTTTTGAAAGTCATTTGAAATTGTCAGTCAATGAAAAGGATGGCGTTATCGACGTTGACCTGCCGCTCCCCGACTTCGACTCCCCTCTACAGTCTCCACTATTGGGAGGATTTGGATCAGCTTCAAGTCAACCGGGCTCCAGCTTTGGTGAATCATCGGTTCTGTCGACGCCTCACGGAGAGCCGGAACAGCCTGTCAACGTGGCTGGGTGGCTAAGTCAGTTTCATCCTGACTTCGCTGTCCAAGCTATCAAACCATATCGCGAGCTGGAACGGGATATCAAGCGAGCAATGAGCGCGGAACCCACACCTCTGAGCACGGTGACTACACCTAGTCTGGAGTCTGGTCCACTTGAACGTTGGATGGACATATGTTCCGCCCTTATTGCTGACACAAGTACCTTTTCGATCAAGCGCATCAGCTTACGGCGCCTTGTCAAGCTGATCCCTACACCTACCTACCAATCCTCGGCCATGACGCCAGGCGTTCCTGGTTTGGGACCCGGCCACTCGCGTTACGGCAATCCGTATACATCAGGCACCGCTGTTCCGATGATGACTGAAGTCCATCTCGCTGAGAAGTTCGTCACTGAAGACATCATGGACTTCGATTCTACCCTCATAGACGGTGTGGATCGTGTACTGGCCCAGTCTGGTGAAGTGACTCGTGTCAACTCTGCCCAGTCATCACGATCAAGCAGCAGAAGGGGTCGGCGCGATACACGAGCGGAGTCAGATGCGGTTCCACACGTCGAAGTACCGCATGTTGACTGTAAGAGCGTGCTGTTCGAAGCGTTGGAAGTTGTCGTCAAAGACGTAGCCACTGAGCGCGGAGGAAGACAGCCTTCTAAGGAAGGTGGTCAGACAAAAACGACAAAGACTACCAAGACCTCTCACCCAAGAACCGAGAACGACTCTTCCCTGAAAGAGGGAATTCGAAGGTGGCTGACAGAGGTCGAATGAGCGCGGCAACAGGGTGCCGACTCTCCTACCATGGCGACTTCAGATTTTGCCATCTATGTACTATATCCTTTGGAACTTTGCGTTTTGGTCTTTGCTGCGTTCTAGCGGGCGTTGGAATACTTTCACAGCGAGGTTGCGACCTTCGCTTTCGGCATCCAGGGTGGAGTTTTGCTTTGATCCGATGTGCTGCTGAGGGGATATCATCATATCTAGCAGACACAAGGTGCGGAAACTATGATACCATAAATAGACTGATCAGATCTACTAGTATTCCTACAATTGGTGCATTTCGCAAATATGAATGCCACAGGATGTGTAAGAAGAATTTGTTGTGATGTAAAGCCATGTGGTGTTTATACATGTCCTTAGTTGATGACCACCTCAAAATATCAGCCGTACCCTCGTGGTGTTGACAACAGATGACTGTACACGGCTCTCAGATATCGCCTCCAATAACAACATCAAAAACACAGTGCACAACACCAGGTGCGTACATCTTCACTTTCTCCACATGTTCCACCAGAGCCTTCCTTCTCGTTGCGGCGTCCCTCTTGTCCACCAAACTCTGGAATTCACCTTCTACAACCTTTCGCCTCGTCTCGACATCGTTGACACCCACATTCTCATGCACGTGAATCCATCCTCCGATCTGCTTGTCAAGTATTGCAACCGCAACACCCCAGGAAAGCTTCGACGAAGGCAGCAACCCGAGATTGACGTGTCGAATAGGTGGCTTACGCGATGGGAGCAACGTATAGTCCGTCTCAGCGCTCTCGTTGCTCGTCTGAAAGACGAGAAGATCCGCTTGGTGGAAGTCGGAATCGTCCACTGCTAGACTTTCACGAAGTCGCGCTATGTCAGTATCTTTGAGGATTCGACAGCTCCAACCATTCATCTCAGCACCTCTGCGTAGTCCTTCGACACTCCACGGGTTTATCTCCCAACAAGCGACTTGTCTGATACCTGTATTCCGTCTATCTCCACTCTTCTTGTACGAGAAGGCGAAGTAGCCGATTCCAGCGTAGAGATCGACGGCTGTTGACGCAACATCCAGATCATTGACCGAAGGAAGACTCAATATTCTTGCTTTCTCATTCACATTGCCACGGCTAAACATCGTGTAAAGCGGCGCCCAAGTTTGCCAAATACCGTTTTGGCGCGCAGTCACCCAGAGGGCGTCGGCAAAGTCTGTTGCTGATGGTGAGGTTATGGTTTGTGGGGTTGGTGCAGGACCGAAGTTGCCGTATAGAGGTGTGAGATTGGTTGGGCTACGCAGTATGTTCTCTCCGCCTGTCGTGGTGATGGATGATGCTGATGTTGAAGATGTGGATATCGGTATAGGCGCGTTGATGGCGACGTGCGTTGCGCCCACTGATATCGCCATATCCCGCCATACTTCTTTCATTTTCTCTGAGTCTGGTGGATAGGTGGCGATGAGGGTTCGCCACGGTGTGGAGGATAAGGCGTTGTGCGGAAGGAGAAGCATGGGTTTGTACACTGAGTATCCATCTGGGAAAGCTGTGACAAGTGCTTCGACCGTGAGTGTATGCGTTATGGATGCAAGATCCGGGAGTAAAGTGAGCGCGGTTCCTAAAGCCTTATGTAGTGGGCTTTGGTGAACTCCATGCGGGGATACTCCCGTGCTTGGGACGTGGTGTGAGATAGATATGTCTGTGGAGATCTCGTCCAATGCAAGATTATCTATTATCTTGGACAATACAGCCTCTAGATCCAGGATTTCGTTTGTGCCGTTTATTTGCGTAGGGCACGGAATGGTCGTGGGGATACGCATACGCTTTTGGTCAGGCTCTCTAGCCTTATCAGCCTCCGCATTCATGGAAGAAGGCTCAACATATTCTCCTCTAACCACATCGAACTGCAGGGCTGGAAACCTGATATGATTGTCGCGATCACCAGGTGCCTCGGCCGCCAGGCTCGAAGTCTCGTTCTCAATGCTTCGGTTTTCGCGCTGAGCTCTGTCTTCCAAGAATGACTGGTCGACATATTCGCCGCTGGTCGCGTCGAAGTGGAGCCTCGGGAAGCGTGACTGCTGTGTAAGGTTTGGTGATGCCGCAGTGTCTTCTCCAGGTGAAGATGCCTTTGATAAATCAGCACCTTGACTCGGGCCAGCCGAATCTATGACAGCCTCTGGTGCTCTTCTGTCATCCAACTCAGGGACGATCTTGCTGCTCCGATCTAACTGTCCGGCCCGCTCGAGGGCAGACTTTACAGTTTTGACATGCTGTTTAGGTACAGCAAGAACGATCCTGGAAGTTGAGGTCTCCATCCTCCCTAAAGTTAAGATAAGCGATGACGGCGAGGTTGTGTTTGGGAGAACATTGGAGAAAGTCGATGCAACATGACGTGGAATTTGTGCACTTGCTAGCTTCAGGCAGCACTATACGAGCACAAGACGCTTGAGGACCGTGACAGCTGACAAGTGTGTTCGATCGCAACTGCCACCTCTGCCGGATCGTCTGGGAAGTCCATCTCGTCTGTCCTTGGAGGGAACGTCTGGAGGCACGGACGAAGCTTGACATGGTTGTTGCTGTTTCGAAGCCCCGCCCCCACCCAAGCTTGTGTGGGTAAGCGTATGACGCAGCTCACAAACACCCAGCTGGCGCAGCACTTGCACTGGCTTACACAACATCCACCCCTCATACATCCACAATGTCTCTCACGAACCTCGATCTCATAAACCAATGCGACGGCTTTCCGTATCCCGACGTCAACTCGGAAACATACATCGCGTCCATCAACACGTATTACCAATTGCGCGTCTCGGGCTACAACTATGCGCTGGGTTATATGCTCCCCTCCGTTGTCGAGGTTTTCCGCGGAGTGCCTGGCTGGGAAATCGACGACGATGCTCGCATCCTCCATCTTACAGCCGGATCCAACGCAGACGAGCGGTCGAAAGCGGTAGAAACAACACTGTTGGCTATGCGGCAGACAGGCCACTTCAAAGTTTTGGACAAGTGGCGAAATGAACTATATGCTGTGTATGGGCTGGGGAAGGAGCTGTTGTTCAACGTCGAACGGAGTGCTAGTTGCCTGTTCGGCGTGGTTACCTACGGTGTGCATCTTACGGCATTCACGAGGAAGGATGGGGAGCTAAAGATGTGGACGCCGAGACGGGCGCGGACAAAGCAGACGTATGGAGGCATGTTGGATAACGCGGTTGCAGGCGGCATCGCATCAGGTGAGTCGCCATTTGAGAGTCTTGTGAGGGAGTGTGGAGAGGAAGCTTCGCTCAACGAAGAGTTCGTTCGGGCAAATGCAAAGGCGTGCGGCACAGTCACATACTGGTATATCCGAGACGAAAGAGCGGGAGGAGAGACGAACCTGATGCAGCCCGAAGTTCAATATGTCTACGATCTCGAGCTCCCCGAAGACACAATCCCGAAACCAGGCGATGACGAGGTCGAAGAATTTTACTTGTGGAGTGTGGAGGAAGTGCAAGAAGGGATGAAGAAAGGCGAATTCAAGCCGAACTGCGCGCTGGTTGTGCTTGACTTCCTGGTCCGCCACGGTATTCTGACGACGGAGAACGAGCGCGACTACATCGAGATTGTGAGTCGACTGCACAGGAAGCTGGAGTTCCCTACACTGTGAGAAGGAGAAGGAAAACGTGATATTCCCGCGCAAGATTGGCGGGTGAATCTATCGAGTCCTTTGGGGGTATCCAGACGCCGTGCCGAAACTTTTAGACCAGATGATACCAATACCAACACAATGCTACCAAACGCCTATTTATGCTTGCTTCCCTTGGATCGTGGTGGAGGCGAAGACACTAGTACTATGAGTGCTTGATGAGCATGTAAATGTCGTCGATCTTGAGCCCGCTGAGCTTCCTGTGAGGGCCCTCCATGTACAGAAGCAGCCCGCCGAAGCTGGCGAAGTACTTTCTACCTGCTGTCAGCACCCAGTACGGTCAAAGTTGACGCGTGAGCTTCACTCACATAATGTCGCCGTCACCACCCTCCATGCGGTAGTTCTTCCCATAGCACACGTAGTCGTACATGTCGGCCAGTGTTGTAACACCCTGCTTGCCGACGCTCCTCCACATAGAGTCGTTGTCGCCCTTGGCACTACCGTCCAGCGCCAATGTCGTTGCCAGGACCAGGCTCAACGTCTGGCCAGCTTCCACCGGAAACAGTTCGTGGTTGATGTCGAGCGACATGGTGATTTGGCTATCGGTCGAGGTGCCAAAGATGCGGGAGACGCGGTCGTATTTCTCATTGTTGATGGAGGTGACGGTGAATGTCTCTTCGAAAACCTGGGCGTCGGCCATGGTGGGAATGCGCGTGGGGTGGGCGCGTGGGTGAGTGTGCGGCGGGTGAGGGTGTTGCGACAGTTGGTTCGCGCAGGCAGAAAGTCGTCGGCGCGCGAAAAGCGACGCGTGTCTTGGCGGCGCCGCACTTCCGCACCCTCTCCGCATCGCTGCTACGCGCGCCGCCTGCCAGCCTCACCATCGCGCCTTCCACGACTGTGCTCTCACATTCGCAATACTCCCACACATGGCTCTGCACCTCCATGCGCCTCACCACATCATTCACCCAGTCACTCGCTCACTCACGTGAACAGTCAGTTGCCTCAGCGCGCAACTCACTCCTTGGGTACAACTGCTGCGCCCCAGCCTGCCCTCGCTCCTCTGTCCCCTCTTCTCTTCCCACTCCACTGTCTCTCACCCATGAGCTACGATCGCTACTTGATGAATCTCTTCAGCCTGCACGATCTTGACTATCTCTCGCCCGATATGCCCGACTTTACTTCAAGTCGTGACTGTAGCCCTGTCGCTTCCGATGCACTCAACCAGCCCAAGTCCAAAGCTGCCGCGAGCCAGAGCAGCATGCTTCTCAAACTCCCCGACGACATATTCAAGTGTGTCATGGACTATCTCGATCGCGACGCTGCCTGGAGCTTGAAGAGGCTTTGTAAAGGCATGGCAAGCAGCGTCACCGTCAATCAGCTCCTCTACAAATACCCCATACAACTCAACGATGTGCGCGACATCAGACTAGGTGACTGGAAGTACAGAGGCCTGGGTAATATACGGTGGATAAGCCTCCAGGAGAGCATCACGGATGAGAACCGCCGACACGTACACAAGTTGGCAATGTCACATTGGGCGAGTATAGACGACTTCAGGTGGATAGAAGAAAACCTACCATGCCTGACGAGCTTAGACATCTCGGCCATTAAAGACTTCGTATGGACTCCGGAAGAGACGTGGACGTGGAGCATGCTGGCTGCTGCTTGCCCCAAGCTGTTCGGCCGCCTCGAAGAGCTCGAGGTTGCCAATTGGGCTGACTACACTGCGCACTCTCGGATTGAGTACAGCTACTCATACAACGACTATCGCTTCAAGCAGGGCTTCCGCATGTCCAGAAGGCACAAGAGCGGTTCTGTCGCCAGCATCATCTTTCCCATCTGCAGCAAGCTGAAGACGCTCGCGATACGAGAGCGCTACTCAGGCTTCCAGTAAGTTTTGTCCACCATGAGTCCTCACCGACGCTCATAGTACTGACATCCATCCTAGCACATGGAACGAATGGGAAGTCCACCAGCGCGTCTGCTGTCTTGTGGATGGTGTGCAGAAGCATTGCCCAGACAGCATGACGAAGCTGAGGATACACGATTACGCCCCCTACCGATCCCTTTTCTCTACCGATGCCACAGCCTGGTCGCGAATAAAAGACGTCGAAATCGGCTTATACTCATGGATGGAGGACCGTCGCGATCGCGATGTAATTGGTCCCATACCGTATCGAATAACTCAAGGGCATCACCATCGTGATGAGGAAGAGGCATTCGATGACAAGACCTTCGAAGACTGCGGACGCGATCACATGGAGCTGGGCAATCATGTTGTGCAGGGCGTAGGAGCTTCATTCGAGGACCTGCTGCAGAGCCTCCAAACCATCTCCAAGAAGTATCCAAACATCAACATCAAGCCCATACACGGTCTTCAAAACATCGTCCTTCACCCATTTCATCTCATCAATGTAACGCAGCGCCGACATCACTTTGGCCAGACTACGCAGCAGAACAACGACCAAGCGATGAGTGACCCTAGCTCCAAGCCAGAGGTCCAGGAAGCGCTGCGGTGGATAGCTGAGAAGTGTCACTGGAAGCCCGTATTCACTTGGGACTCCCTCATGTCCGATGTCTTTCCAGCCAATCTCGAGCCCAACCGGACACTGCTTCCGAAACAAGATATTCTGTCTCGTATACAGACTATGGTATCCACCTTACGAAGCTTCGGTATCCCTATCCGTATTTCCATTGGCGAACGCACAAACATGTCTCCTGCGTCTGGTATTGATGGCAACCTATATTTCGGCGACTACAAAACCTTTGTTGGGGAAAACGCGGACAAGCGTGAACTGTTGCTTCCGACCCAAGCCGTCTTCAGTCTTACGCCCATCGCCGCCATGGTTGATGAACTCAGTATCCAATACCCCGCCGACGTTCCTGGTGTCTCTGGCTGGCTGCGTACAGCGAAGCGCCCTACACCCGCCGAGGTAGCCCTCATGAAACGCGAGATGATTGGCTGGAGGCGCTTCTGGGCTCGCTACGCTTCCCAGTTCAAGAATCTGAAGAAGTTGACCGTTAATGTACCCAACGACATCTACGAAGACTGGGGTAAAAGTGAGCTCGTTAAGTTACTAGCCGACGAACGGTGGCAGATGCTTGAGGTGGAGGACAAGCAAGATAACAGCATCTTCGGGAGCTACTTTCCATTCAGCAGCAGTAGCTCATCGTCTGCTCTACGACACAACCTTTCGCGTCGGCGTACAAGAGCCAAGTTTGTTCAGCGGGTCTTCTTCAGACTTGACAATGAAGCCTTGGACCTCGAGTGTCTCCCTGCAGGATTGAGCGAGAAGCAAAGAGAGGAAAGGGAGATCACAGACGCCGAGATCGCAGACAAAGAGACCTTGCCACATCGCTTCTGGCATAAGAGCGATGACGCAGACGAGGAAAAGGGCGAGAAACGCAAGCGAGACCCTGCCGAGGACGGCGGTAGCAAAGAGGATATGGAGAAAAGACGAAAGGCCGATCACGAGACTTGCGCCCGTGCCATTCAGTACGTTCAGCTTCTAGCAACTACAACAGAGTAGCAATTGTATTAGTAGTCTAGCATACAAAGTATGTAGTAACCATCCATGATGATACACAGATGTCTCGCATATATGGATCTCTGCTTATCTATCTTACAAAAAGACACTACACGGAGATTGTTGTGTTTGCTCGTACGTCCTTCGAGCTAAATCCTGACAAGAG